TTGTTTTTTGGTTACAGGGTCCCCAGCTGAGAATTTAGAAGGATAGAGGAAAAATATTTTTTTCTCCTCTTTTTTCATTTAAAAATATTTGGAAAAAAAGTTTGAAAGATATGACAAAATGACAATATTTGTTTATTCTGCGTGGTGGATTATTTGATACCTATGTTATTTTCATACTTTTTATATATTTCACATTTTTATTTAAAAGATGTATACCAAAAAGACAGATGCAAAGTATATGTAAGTGAGATCATTTACTAAAAGTAGAGTGGGATTGAGCAGAAAGCCTGTTGCAGACTATAGGAAATCTGGAAGACATGCTGTAGTTAATATGATAGCAAGGCCACAAGAACCGATAAAAGATCTTCCAGTCTGCAATAGGAGCACAACACACTTGTGGAGGAGTGACAGCAAGTCTTTGCTTTTCACTAACAATGTTTGGAATCTCTGCAGCCGGACTGGAGAAAATACACCACCTGTTTTAGCAAGGGATGGAGACTGGCAAAAATGGCAAAGTTAATAATCATTGAGGTGAGAATTGAAATGATTGGTCATCATATCGAAGCTATTTGGGAACAGAAGTGAAGCCCAGAGAGCTTCTGGTTAGAGCAAAAGGGCTCTACAGGCCCTACTGAGGTTGAGAAGTGTATTCGAAATAGAACCGGAGGAATGTAAACTATTCCCAATAAATGAAGGAGGGAGAGAGGTGACAGAATCAGTTTGTGGTAGGAGAGAGGAATTTCAGCGTTTGAAACCCACAAAAAGGGTTTTTCTTTAATGCTCATACTAGTAGAATAGGTGTTAGATGTTCAATTTGGGTCAGACCTTATAACAGGATCATTGTGAGAGGCAGAAACCCCTTAGCATGTTTAAAAAAAAAAAAAAAAAAAAAGTGCCCACTGGATTTGGAACGCCTAAATGTGCCGTTTTCCACGCAGTCTCTACAGGGATCTGAGTAATTTACAAAGAACGAAACAAAACCCGACCAACCAACAGTGGGAAATCTCCAGCTTTGTAGGGTGCTCCGTTGGAGAGGTGGGGGGTGTCCCAGAAAACCCTTGCACTTGGAAGAGGCAGAGCTGAGGGGAGATTTGGGGTCTCAAAGAGCCACAGCCTTGAAGGAACTCACTACCCTAGGGAACGTGGGTGCTGGCACTTGGCA